TATACTTTTATAGCGCCTTTCTATGCTTTTACAGCACACTCAAAGCGCCTTCACATTATTCGGCCATTTACCCATTCGCACTCACGCATTCACCCAGGTGCTCCTGGTGACATCACCGGGAGCACCTGGGGGTTCAGTGTCTTGCTCAAGGACATCTCGACATGTTGACTGGACAAGCCGGGAATCGAACCGCTAATCCTCCGGTTAGGAAACGACCCGCTCTACCTCCTGAGCCACAGCCTTTGTAAGATCATCTTTTTCTTTTTATTTAAATCCTTGTATTTTTTTGTGCCTACTCGTTTCTTTAATATCTTATTTTGCACTGCGCCGTATTTATATTGTATTTTTAAGTTAATGTCACTTGTTTACACTTTTTATTTTGGGAGTATTAATAGGTACTTTATGTAAGCTATTTATATTGTATTTCATATGTTCAGTTCATTTTTTTGTATTTGTTTCTTTAATTCTTTCTAAGTATTTTGAATGTGCAATTGCTTTATTTAAACAAAAGAATGTCCAAGACAAAGCTATTACATTTCTTATGAGTATATACACTAGCAGTGGAATTTACTGCGATGCAACGGGGCGCCACCTGAAATCTTGCCTAGGGCACCAAATTGGTTAGGGCCGGGCCTGGCTGTGCTGGGCTCGTGCTCGAGGTCACACGCCGAGACTGAAGAAGAGGAGCGGTTGGTGGACAGGTGTCAAGGTGGGGGTCCAGCTTCAGAGCAGTCAGAGAAGAGACCTGCAAGTGCGGTGTTCTCTCTGACATTTCACAATGTTTTTTTTTTTCTGTGTGGTCATTATTCTGTCCCTCTTTTGAAAATGCTAGTTTAGTTTGCATTTTCTTTCTGGCCCTCTTGATTTTCACAAACCTCAGTCTTTTACTGAAATTTTCTTTTTCTGTTTTAATTTGGATTCCTTTTTATTTTATAACTCTTCGATCTTTTTCGCACTTAAGAGATCCTCCATGAGGAAACCCAAAGTCACGTATCCAATCGTTTAAACATTGCACTTTTGTTTTCGCCATGTTTTCCTTTCATATCTGACTCCCGGGAGGTCCAACCTCTTTTGTTCCTTTATTCCCCATCGGGAGCACGTATGCGTGTCTATACAATACAGACGTCTCTGTAAGGTCCCCGTTTCATACTGGCCTCAAACAGGAATTAAAAGGCAATAGTCCTAGCCTATTTTTTTGTTGCCCCAGGCTCTTAAAGGAAGTGTTTTACGAGTCCCAGACTCAACCGCAGTGGAGAGAATGAGCTGAGAAAGGACGAGTTTTACCACTTTTTTTTAAATTGTATTTTTATAATTTAGAAAATCATCACAAGTTTTACAGTTTTTAAAATAAATTGGGAAAGCAAAATGACAGAATGAGTTCACACACCACTTTATTTTGTAGATGTGTGTGCGTGCACCAGTAATAAATATTTTCCCTGTATTAGCATTCACCGAGGTGCTATATGAATTTGAGTTCGAAGGATCCCAGCAGTGACAATCCAGGGCATCAGTGGTCAGTCCACTGTCACTCGAGTAGTGTAGAGGTTTAGGGGCTGGAGTGTTGTCTTCTCCAGGAGGGGCAGTCACTGTCCACAGCTCATCCCAGACGATCACACGAGGGATCCCACTTCTGACACCAAAATTGTGAAGGTCTTCCCAGCATTGGTGACTTCATAATAATAATAATAACAATAAACCAGAGAGTTCCCCATTCAAAATCATGCAGAACTCCATACCTCAAATCATTAAGAATATTAACCATCTGACCTTTAGCCAGTTTGCATGCTTCAGTGAGAGCAACCAGTTCAGGTGCCTGAGCAGAGAAGGGAGAGGGGAGGGCTGCAGAGGTTAGTGGCATGAGAAGAGCACACAGCAATAACCAACACAATTTAATCCTGTAGTTCGATGTCTAGATGCAGAGCCATCAACAAACAGAACAAGATCAGGGTTAGTCAGTGTTTTTTCCTGGAGGTCAGGTCGAGGTGAACAGACCTGTTGAATGGCAACACAGTTATGTCCCTCACCATCGGTAGGTGTGGGGAGGAGAGTTGCATGATTCAAAACAGTGCATCTTTTTACCTTGATGTTAGTGTAATGAAAGTTCTTTCATTTTGAAAAGAGAAGACTAATAAAAAGATATATATTTCGCTATGTGAAAGTTATTATGCATTAACGTATCAAAATAAGCATGTGCACATGGATCTTCCCTGTTTAGGATAAAACAGAAAAGACTGGCCTCAACTTGCTGATATACAATATTTGTATGAAAAGATGTTACTATCTGATTGGTCAAAAACTGTTGGGGAGAATTCGTGGTTTAAACTTAACTCTCCCGATATTGGTCCTTCAGTCTGTCCGTCCTCCAATCATCCTCACTGCTCCAGTGGTTGTGGACAGCGCCCTGAATACCTACCCTTTCTTAATTTCTACATAGACACTTACGTCTTCCTTTGTTTCCAACTAACTGCTAGATTTCAGACTGTTATTTAGGATACATATTCCTAAGGAGATCTGTAAACAAGGAAAACAAGAGATAGTGACAAAAAATGTTTTGTAAACAGTGTATTATTTGCTTCCTTTTAAGGGATGAAACCTGACCTAGTATGTGGTCACAGTGTTGGCATTCTACACTGTCTTTGTCTTTGGAAATTTTAATTGATTAAAGAGGCAAGTAACCTATGTAACAACGTTCCTTACGTTTCCACCAATATTAATTCCTACACCCAAATGCTCAGTTAGCCTAAAATCAAAGTGGTTCGACTTAAGCTAGGCTAGGCTATCTATAGGCTGAATTACCACGGCTAACTATTTTTGACAGTTTGGATCAGTTCCCATTAATGTATATCATATTAGTGGACTGATGTATTATTGTGTGCATCATAGTTAATTCTGCAGCTGGTAAAGGTAGAGCTAATGTTAACCTTAAAATTGAATTATTGCTGTGTAACTTGTAAATTTCGCACCGGAGATCAGTAAAATCTTATGATTATACGGTAAGTAAAGTCACTTAAATACATCTAGTGCAGTGTATATAGTACAATATTTGCCTCTGAAGTAGAGCTGCATGAGCGTGATTTAAATCCCTACGTAATGTGTCTCACGTGACAATGGTGCTTCCGCGTCTGCATTAGCAAGCACTTGCATCAAACCAAGCGCTTCCTCTTCGTCAATAAGCTGTGTTAGCCAATAGCAGGACTGCGTGATATCACGTGACAAGATGTCTACAAGAAGAGACGAGTGATTCAAAAACAAGTCGAACGTGTTTGACATATTCTCTACCTTCCTTCAACTATTTTTCCAACGTTTCACTACGTACCCTGTACACCTAGCGCCGAATAGGAGTTGAGGCAGAAATAAATCACCTTAGGGTTATTAGTTGTTGTTATTGGTTAATGCAGCTTAGCGCGGAAAAGGGAGCTCATAGTTTGATGCAAGGAATCTCACTACTAATGCATTGTCCCGTGAGACTGAGATCGCACAAGGATATAAATCACTCTCACAAAACGATTTATCGTGCAGTCCTAATCTGAAATGTAATAAATCAGAAATATGAAGCGGCGGAAAATTGAAATACTGAAGTAAAGCAGGCTACAGATACCTCAAAAATGTACTTGATTACTTTTTCCACCACTGAAAAGAGGAAAGAAGATGCCAGACAAAGACAGATGGCAGAAAGCTCAGAGAAACTGAAGAAAGAAGCAGCGAAAACCAGTTTCCGTTTGAAAAAGGTGAGCCGACCTAAGACTGATAGGGTGCAAAAAGGTTTGGCCATCATATTTGGACCAATGACCTTAAATTTTACCTTAATTGGTATTAAGGGATTTGTGTATAATATGCGTCTTGTACACGAATATCAAAATGGCCCTTGGATTTGATTAATCTGTCTAGTAAAGTATGGAGCCCAGGAGGGGACATAGGAATAAAAAGAATCGATGGCAGACTTTGCAAGATCTCACATCTTTAGTACCACATACATGAATGCCTTAGTAATTATAATCATATAATAACCTATAGTTTAATATATAACCATTCTGAAACAGTCCATTCACATTTGGCACTTTGTGGCTAGTACCTTTGTGCTTTTACTCAGGAGAATGTTTGAATCTCAAAGCATGATTGCCTAAGTGCTATCACAGTGTGAATGGGCGTATTCATCCTTTTCTGCGGCAGGAGTTGTCATATGATCCGTGGCAGACAAACTTCGTGTTGGAGAGGCACAGCACAGCAGTGGTCCAGGACAAGCTTTAAGGTAAGTATTAGTACAAACATCTTCCGGTTAGTGTTGACAAACCGTGCAATGTTAACGTTTCATCAACTAATAAGTTATGTGCCAGCGCCTATGTCTTCCTACCCTGCCTGGTAGTTGTTCTGTGACAAACCAGTTTGATAGGCTCGTGGAGCACATTAGGAAAATTCTGTGGACAAAGATTTGATGACTGTATTTGGATTTTGGTTTGAGGCTGTTAGTTTTAGCTCATTAAAATTCTGTAACCTAGTTAATAGCTGCACGTTGCGTTTTCTGTGTTCTTTTCAAAGGTTTGCTTTGGCACAAGTTGCAGAGTCCGATATTTTGTTCAACGGGGAAATTGGTTGAAAACTTGAAATAAATTAACTTTTGTTAGTAGCAACGTCAGTTAATGAATATGCACATGGTGTTTATTTATGACATATAAAATATCAATTACGTAAGCCGGCTACTGTAGGCTTAGTTGGGAAAACTATTACCATTAAAATTGGTCGGCCACATGTACGCGATTGTCCTGAACAACGCAATAAAGGTCGTAAGGCCTATTCATTTTGCGGAAATAAAGCTGACAATGGGATGGATATTCCTTCGGTTCTATTATCTTTCCACACTCCAGCCCAGCAGGTGGCGGTAATGCACCTTAGGCTGGCTTGCAAACCGCCAATAAACACCATAAGAAGAGGAGGAAGAAGACCGTGGCGTGGTCACGTGGCGTCGCGTAAACATCCTCTAGCACCATCAGTCTGAAGTAATTAAAGTGCACAATACAGTAGTATTTCGCACATGACATGACACGACACTCAACTTTTCTGTTATGACAGATATGTGTACAGAATTATCCACAGCTATCTCGAAACGTTATCGTTAGCTAGGTGCTATTAAAATCTCAGCGCGTTGGCTACTTCCCCGTTTCCTTAAGAGCTGGACACAGATCGGAAACTTCACTTGGAAACTCAGGGCGTGTGGCGTTGAAAAAACAAATATGCATCCTTGTCTCTTTGTTTGGACCCACTTATTCTCATCTCTGCCTTGATTTGAGACTTTTATTAACGACAAATGACTGGGTACACGAGACCTCACAACTACCCTCGTTGATGAAGGTGTCAAGAGTCTCAGGCATAAACGCTGCATGAAGCTGCTGTTGTAAAAACTAGCCCAGGTGAGCTAAACTCCTGATTTCCCTTATGTCCAGCAGCCACGATGAATACAACTTGAAGCACATGAGCACCCTTATGGGCAGCAGGAGGGAGAAAGCAGTGGATGATGGAGAGCGGAGTCTCATTGGCCCACCATCTAGAGGCTCTGCCACCGGTGGGGATCATCAGAAGCCAGCTGCCTCCACACCAGGGTTTGTCTACGTGCTGGCGTTCTTCTCTGCCCTGGGAGGATTTCTCTTCGGGTATGACACTGGGGTGGTCTCCGGTGCTATGCTGCTCCTGAAGAAGGAGATGAACCTGAATGCTCTGTGGCAGGAGCTGCTGGTCTCCAGCACTGTGGGGGCTGCGGCGCTCTCTGCCCTCAGTGGTGGCTCCCTTAACGGGTGGCTGGGCCGCAGGATCTGCATTCTTGTGGCCAGTTTCATCTTCGGCCTTGGTGCCTGCATCTTGAGTTTTGCCCCAGACAAAGTAGTCCTCCTTGTGGGCAGAATCACAGTTGGTTTGGGCATAGGTGAGTTGGTGTTTGGAAATTATAAAAAAGACCCTTTTTGATATATGTAGTCTTTATCAAGTTGGGTGATGTGCTCTTTATCAGCAGCACCTTGTTTAACATGGTCACAGTTCCACACATTCACACCTTGTACAGCTATGTGCAGAGGTTTGTGCACTTCTGAGCAACATCCATATTTTAGGCTATTGATTTATGAAGTGAAAAGGAGTGTCTAGAACCCTTGCAGCAAACAGACGTTAATCCAACAGCCTTTCTTCAAATGTTTACGTACTGTTACTTTTTATTTCATGGATTTAAAAATAGAATTTACAAAAACTAATTGTGAAGTGTGGGCACCCTAGCCCCCTCTGGCATCTATCACAGCTTGCAGTTTTTGTCGCATTTAGTCATTTTCAGCCATTGTTCTTTGCAGATCACTTTTACATGCTGTGTGCACATGGAGCATGTTTAAAATCTTCTCATAAATCTGTCTCACTTCAGCGTGTCTGTCTTAAAGTAGTTTGCGATGGATTTTCAGATACACTTTGGATCACTGTCCTCTAGTGGATATCAGTAATAACTAAAGTAATTGTGCACCCAGCTAAGTATTGACATGTTCAAACATTTGCACATGTCATGATTATGGTTTGATATTTTTCTGATTTTTAAGTTCATGAAACAAAAAGTGAAGTAACAACATTAACAAGAGACTTGTTTTAATGTCTGTCTGCTGAAGGGCTTCACTTCAGAAATCAATTAAATACCTTATGTACTTTACCCAGGAGGCCAAACATTTGCATACAACTGTATAGCCACAGATAGTTAACGTGGCTTCTGGCTGAGAATTTAGCTCAGCGGCCATAAACTGTCCTCTCAGTCCAGCTAGTTTAACCTGTTTATGAGTAGATACAAACTCCACTCTCAGGTAACTTATCACCTGACCTGCTTTTTCTACTACAGTTATTGTGTCCTCTTTGCCCACATCTTAAGACTGTGGGTCATGTGAGTGAATATGACCAGAGGTTATTTGTTAACATAAAATTGAAACCCTTCCTTTTTCTTCCCATCAGGCATTGCTTCTATGACAGTGCCTGTGTACATTGCTGAAGTTTCCCCCCCTCACCTGAGAGGTCAGCTGGTCACTGTGAACGCTCTCTTCATCACAGGTGGCCAGTTCATTGCCAGTGTAGTCGATGGGGCCTTCAGCTACCTGAGCCACGACGGCTGGAGGTACACATGCTGTTATAAAGTTGGCCAAATTGAACACACTCAAAGAACCTTTATTTTCTAATGCAATTAAATGTGTGCATTATTAGCTTATTCCAGATATATGTATAATGATTGTAAACAAGTAAAAAAGAGCAGTACTGAAATGTCAATGATACTGTATGTCTGAGGTCAAAATGTCACAAATGATAGTACACAAATAAATGTGCCAAAGAATGGGAGAGCATTCATATGGAAGCTCGGTATACAAGAAAAATAATGTTTACCCATTATTTGGCCCCAAAGAGGGGGGTGTCAGGACATGCCATCATAAATCCTCAGAGCCCCACAATAAGCATCACCATTTTCCTGACCTAATCTACCCTTAAAACAAAGAATTCCTGAACCCTATCCTCACCTAAGCAAAGAGCAGCCAAGCAGAGATGTGGCTTGACACACAGAATCTGCATTGTATTTGCTCAGGTTAAACAGTGGCTGGTCTGACTGGCTTGGTAAGCAACCACGTCCGAGAGCCAGGCCCCATCAACTGTCCAGCCACCAAGACTGTCAATAAGAAGAAATATACACCAGTAACAAGGCCACTGAGGCGATAACTATATTATCAGTTAAGCCAGTACAAAATCCATGTGGTAGCGTATCGACACGCTTCCAACCACTTGCAACACTTGCGTTTTGAAGTGCTGCTTCAAGGCTTTTATCCAAGTGGCCAAGTCACATGATTGTTTCACATCATTTCATGAAGTGTTTAAAATTTTGATAGTTTCACTGATAGGGGCCGATCTCTTGATGAATCCTGGTCACTAGACTGAACATTTGCACTACCTGCTAATCAAATAAGTTTGATCCCCTGATCCCAACACAATCCTTCAACAGAATCAATAAACCCTTCAAACAGCAATCCGTAATGTACAGCTAATGACCTGTTTGCTACATCCTGTCCTAGCCATTAAATATTTTGAATAACACAGTCAGAATTCTACTACTTTTGCATTCAACCTCTATCCACCCTGTCTTGATAATCACTCTAACAAACCAGCCAAAATTCCTCTTTAACCTCATTAGGTTGCTAATGCTAGTAGGCCTCAAACTTGCCTCATATAACATCTTTAATGGCCAAATTTTAGTGGATCTTTATGTTAAAAAACTAATGCTGGTGATTGTCCAACTCATAGGGTGCTATTGGTGCCCCGGTTCAGGATTTTGATTTTTGCCCTGATGATGCAGCCCTCAGAGTTTTTAGACCCCAACCTGAGAATCAGGTGTCATAGATTTCTCCTTCAGCGTTTCATCTCCCCCTCAATCTCCCCATCCTGTAGGTACATGTTAGGTCTGTCCATTATTCCGGCAGTGCTGCAGTTCTTCGGCTTCATCTTCCTTCCGGAGAGCCCTCGTTGGCTTCTCCAAAAGGGCCGAAGCCAAGAGGCCCGAGAAGTTCTCAGCCGGCTCAGAGGAGACCAGAGCATTGATGAGGAGTATGACACCATGAGAATCAGCATTGAAGAAGAGGAGAAAGAGGCGGGTGGAGGTGAACCATTTCTGCGAACACAACAAATTAAAAGCAGTGATAATTGTAGTTTTGTCAACATGCAACATAGAGTAACAACTATTTGTGACAAAGAGACAACTAAACATTAAAAGTAAATGAAATTTTAATATTTATTAAAGATTTTTGGTTGTTCTTTAGGAGGCTTCATTATTTTGCGGATCCTCAAACATGGTCCGACTCGCAGGGCTCTGATCGTTGGCTGTGGCCTCCAGATGTTTCAGCAGCTCTCTGGGATAAACACTGTCATGTAGGCCATTTATTTATCATGTAATACCGTTGCTACCGCATGATAATCTCCCTACTGCTTGATAATTTCACCAAGTATTGTAAAAGCTCTAATGATAACTCAGAGCATGTGTGATTTTCCTGCATTCAGACCTGTGCAGCTGGAAAATCTCACCATGCTGATTTGTTGAGGGCTGAATATAAACTGATGTGACTCCTCAGTGAACCTGGTTTTCTGTATCTAGGTATTACAGTGCAACCATTCTGCAGATGGGAGGGGTGCGAGATGATAAACGGGCGATCTGGTTGGCTGCTGTGACTTCTGCCACCAACTTTGTGTTCACCCTGGTTGGAGTCTGGCTTGTGGGAAGAGGGGGCCGCAG